GTCTAAATCACCATGGTCCGCTTGTACTCTGGCCTTTATTGTATACTTTAGAGAATAATTTGTGTTACTATGAGGTTTATTTAAACACTGAGTGTTTTCCACCCACCTGCTGTACTTCTCTCTCCTTTTTTATTGTCCAAATTTGTCATTGACTTTACAGTAGAACCACAAGAAGTTAGAACAGATGGCAGAACCTGAGGATAAAACAAACAACAGTTTGATACAAAATAGGGCTGCACCGATTAGTTGAAATAATCGATGACGTCGATTATGTAAATTTGTCGACGCAGATTTTTTATTATCGATTGGCTGTATTACATAACCACCACGCGAATGTTCATGCAATTCTATTTCGGTACCTAAAAGCATCATTGCAACCGTATTGGCATAAGAGTGGTGAGTTTTTCATGAAAATATTACAATTACAATAATTTTACAATTACAGAAAATATTACAACATTAAAGAACTGTTCTTGTTAATTTGATGAAAACATTTTAAATTTCCAGTGCACTCACATCAGAATAACATAGATTTGTTGTTAGAATAATCGATTAATCGAAAATAATCGTTAGATTAATCGATTAGAAAATAATCGTTTGGTACAGCACTAGTCACAGGACTCTTTCCATTCATTTTCTCATGACTCGTTTATTCCTCAAGTTTTTCTACTTCAGTATTTCCTGTGTTTTCCCCTCTCATCTTTTAATCTCTGTCTTTTCTTCACAGAACCAGACTGTGGGAGGAAACAGAAGCTGGCTGTCATCCATCAGGCTTTGATCAGGTTTTAATGATACTGTTTCATACTTTATTTTTTTCTAACTCAAACCTGACCAGCTTTATTAAAAATTGTCACAACTTTTTCAAGTCAGCTTTTTCATATTTCATTTACATGGTCCAAATCACTAAAGTATTACATTATTTCATGCTGGGATTTAAAAAAAACATCTTGCTTTTCAAGCTAACTTTGTGCATAACGCCAAACTCTGGGAGTTATATGATTGTTGTTTTTGGACCGATAGGGATCCAGTGGACATTAATACCCTGAGACAAGCTGCAGCTAGTAAAGGAGGCCTGCTCACTGATGAACTGAGGAGAAAAGTGTGGCCCAAATTACTAAACATCAATGTATATAATCTACCTCACAGACCTGGTGAGTATAATCTAATGTACAAATAAATAATATGGCTGCAAGTAGAAATTTGTTGTTTGTGGAAGCACTATTATGTTTTTACTGCTTTAGGTCGAGATGTGAGGGAGAACCACAAGGACTACAACCAAGTTGTGCTGGATGTCAGGCGGTCCATGAAGCGGTTTCCTAAAGGTAGGTTTGTGTTTTATCACTATAGATAACAAAACACCTATTTATTTTTATTTTATCAGTTGTCACCCCTGTACATACAGCAACATGCAGTTATCTGACAGAGGTAAAGTAATAATTGACAGGGGTTATAGCTTCACCAGAGAAGACTTTAATGTCAGAGTTAATCTAAAATGTGATAAAATTGTTCCAATGCTTTTCCATTGTTCTATTTTACACATGTACTATTTGTCTCAGTATTTGCTGTTAGTATCACAATTTATTGTTTTTTTATAAAGTTATGTTTACTTATTTTCAAGATGTGATAAAGACCCTTTTTTTTTGTTATAACCACATGTTTAAAGCCTTACAAATTAGCTGTTAATATTTCTTTCAAATTACACTGAATCAAGCAGATTGGGGCAGTATAAATACCTGGATGTGGGTATAATTAAAACAAAATGCATACTTTTCAGGCAAAGTTATTGTGCTCTCTTTCAGGTATGCCAGCTGCAGAGAGAGCAGTCCTTCAGGAGCAGCTGATTGATACGATCCTGGAGGTTTTAAAGCGAAACTCTCAGCTGCATTATTATCAAGGCTACCATGATGTGGCGGTCACGCTGTTGCTGGTGGTCGGGGAGCGTATGGCCATAGCCATGCTGGACAAACTGTCCAATTATCACCTCAGGTGTTACATGCCTCTTTTTATTGTCGCTTRTCCAAATATTCTTATGCTCTACTGTTTATCTAAAAATAATTAACACTGGTTTGTATTTTCTCTCTGTAGGGATTTCATGGATCCTACCATGGACAGCACCAAACATATTTTAAATTATCTGATGCCGATTTTAGAGCAGGTTGACGTGGAGCTGCACGACTTTATGACCAGGTACAAATTCAKTAACTCAAAAATCCTAAAACAGCTGGAGTTAAAATGAGTTGGCCATTAGAGGGCACTACAGTTCTAATCTTTGGATATAAGATTCTCTGTTGAAAATGCAGCATTAACTTTAATTTTTCTAGCTTCTAAAGTGAAATAAGCTTAATAAAGTAACATAATGCTCGCTAAATAGGCTGGATTTTATCAAATTAATGGATTAGAGCAAACAAGGTTTAACGTGTGGTTATTTTCAGAAGTAGGGTTAGAAATTTCTGCAAGTCCGTTTCTTATCTCTTAATGTATTTTGATATACCTTTATGCCTGAGTTTGTCTTGGGGCGGGGGCAGAGATYATGATTTTCCAGGCACATAGTTCAATTCTACACCACAATGAAGTTACTATTTCAGTTGTTCTGAAAAAGCTGTATATATCAAAAATAAAATTTACTTCACACCAAAGTCTATCTAAATGCCTTGAAATTGACCTCTGTCTATTTAATAAMCTCCTACCGTTTCCAACACTCCCACTTYKGCACATCTTTGCAACAATGCTTTGGGGGAGGGGTGCTCTGTGGGGCGGGAGCTCGGCTGYAGACTGAGCTCCAGGGAGGAGCTTTGTACAAACAGGCGGTGCTTTGTACCAGCAAGTGTTTATGCGGCTCCACATGGCTACAGGAGATTTAAGGATTTCTCAAACATGCATGAATAATTCAAAGAAACACTCTGGAAATGTTTTTGATGAATAACATTATAACATAATATGAAGCTCAAAAAAGCCAATAGTGCGTAACACTCCACCTTTAAGTACTTTTGCTGTCTTGTTGCCTCTTTATCATTGATGACTTGCAAACAATTTCACTTCTCACAAACAAACAGAAACTGCTACAGAAACGAGTCATTGCACTCAGAGAGAAACAAGAAAACAACTTACTTTAAAGCCTGGATCAATGCTTCCTCTCCTTCCTGCCTTCTTATCCTCGACTCTTTCATATTGACTTCTTCCCCTTGCTTTGCTTTCTTTCTGTTCATTTCTTTTACTCTTTGTCTCTTTTCTCCATCCGTCCTATGGCTGAGCTTCTTGCCCTTTGCAGCCTTTTTTATTACTTCTTTTTATGTTTATCACTCCCTCTGACTTTATTTCTGCTGCTTTCTTCCTTTCCATGTCATGCAAACTCTTTCAATGTTCCAATAAATTAAATGGCAAAAATGAAAATCTTTTTTTTTTCTTTGTGCGTTTTGTGTTTTTAGAGCAGAGGTTGGAACCATCTTTGCACTTTCCTGGCTCATCACATGGTATGGCCACGTCCTGTCGGAGTTCAGACACACTCTCAGGTTGTACGACTTCTTCCTGGCCTCACATCCGCTGATGCCCATCTACCTCTCTGCTACGGTAAGAGACACGCTCTTCTCTGTAATCCAGGATTCATAAATTCACTGTGCATGAACAGCTAGTTAATTAGTTAATTTCCTGCCTCATTATGAAAAAAAAGAGGAATGCAGCAAAAAAATAGGAGATAAAAACTGAGAGAAAACTGATGTAAAGAGTTTTTAACAGAAGTTTGCTCACATTTAATTTTAACCTTCTGTCATCTTGGAGCTGCATGTTTACCAGTTTTAACATGAAAGTGTTTGTGGAAGTAAATTAATATGGTTGCATGCATCCCTTTGTTCTTCGGGGGGTCTTTTAGTGTTGGAGGAGGCCTTGTTAACTTAAGAACTAACGCACGTGTTTATTAGCGGCTTTCGCTGAGCAAATGTTGCCGTTGAGGGTGTTTGTGTGTGTTTGTGTGTGTTTAGGGGGAGGACTCTGTTTGAAGTGTGTGAAACAGCACAGGAGAATGCAGTTTGTGTTTTCCTCCAAGGCTGAGTTCAGTGCACTGCACGGAGCTTTAATTGATCTGAAAGGAGAAAATTATGTTGTTGCATTAAAAGTTAACTAATCTAAAGAAATGACTGAATAAAAGGTTGAGAAACTCTTGAATGATAGGAGGCGTCGCAGTGAGATGTGGTTAAAATGTTTACACAAGGTCATTGTTGTTTGTTGACATCTGCAGGTAACGCAGGTGAGCTTTTTGTAAACACAGATGCAAACTCACAACCAAGCAAAAAGCTTCCTTGCATTTACAGTATAATATATCCAGAAATAGAGCACAACAGCAGCCCAGTTTGTATTTTTTTTATTAGTTTGTAAAGTAGCCTTAACTATATTTATTCTCCATTCTGGTCAGTTTTGTTTAGTACCAAAAAGAGATGAGCTTTAAAAAGAATCGTTTTGGCCTCTGAATTCTCAGTCAGTTTTTTCCACATTTTAACAACTTTCCTCTTGTCAAAGTTATGCCTCAAATAAAAGTTTCATAAATGTCAGAAGCACCAGCAGGAATCATTCCAGCTGCACAGCTTCCAAACTGATCCAGAAAAATGTTAAAAATAAAACAACAGAAAATGTCAAAAATTCAGAAACATCATACTCAGATGTATGCAACAGGCTTCCATTTTTAGAGCACAAATGTAGAATATTATCTTTTAACTAATCTGCCTATTTCACCGACCCAAATCCTGCCGATGTAAAACAAAAGAAACACAAATCGTTTAAATTCAAAACTGTCATTGCTCCTCTGTTATTCAGATTGTGTTGCACAGAGAGAAGGAGGTAAAGCAGACGGAGTGTGAAATGGCCATGGTGCACCACCTCCTTTCCCGCATCCCCCAGGATCTCCCGTATGAGCTTCTGATCGGCCGGGCCCAGGACCTGTTTGACCAGTATCCCCCATCGTTACTGGCCAAACGGGCAGCACTGCAGTCTCGCAAGAGGTAAGGTAACAAAATGAAAATGGTGTCAGTATTCCTTAATGTGTATAAACTATTCTTTAATAGTCCTTACAGTCAGATTCACATTAAATAAGGGACAGGCGACATTATTATCTGGTTATTAGAGCTTTCACGCTCTTGCAGAAAGTTGTGATTGCTCAACAACTGGCCTCTGTCTTGGTTTCATACAGGACTTTAGTAAAGATTCTTGCAATAATCTCCTCTGGCATTTATAGTACCAATCTTGCCCTGTCAGGTTCAAAAGCAAGCACTTCCAAGATTGCCAAGGACGATTGCCTGCGGTTATTACATTGTTTTTTTTTTTTAGCTGTTACTGGTTATAGTTTCATCACTCAATATGAGAGATTTCAGTGCCTGCACCCAATACACTGAGAAATAAACCACAAGTTAAAAGATTATGGCATTTCTCCTAAAAATAAACTACCAAAAACCAAGCATGTGCTGCAGGCTGGATACTCCAAATGTATGTGTTTAATTGGACACAACAAAACTATTTATATATTCATATTTGAGTTTTATATGTAAATATTGTTCAAGGAACTTCAAAAGAGTTTCTTTATTTTTTTTCCTGTGCAAACACCTCAGACTCAACATCTGAAAGGATTCAAATGAGTCAAAGGATTTTTATTGTCATGGTAGCGTTGTATAATATCCTATAAACACAATGATTGTAAATATCCCTACAAAATAAAAATCATACTGCTGTTTATTGATAGCTTTATTTAGCATTAGGATGAAGAGATTTTAACTCAAAGATGATAAATCCACAATAATTTACAAAAGGAACAATCTGCAAAGGAGAAATGGAAGCAATAAATATTAAGATTATTGTGTTTGCAATTAATAATTAAAATTGGCATCAAATTATGTGGCAAAAGTATCTAAACTTTCCAACAAATATAACTCATGAAGTGAAAACTGTATGGGAGTGATGTTATTCCTTTAATCACCAAAAGGGGGCGCTCCAAAGTTCGGTTCAGACTTCAGAGGTGCTGCTGAGACATTCGGGTCATCTGGTGTATCTTTTTTTTCCTTTATATTACTGAGAAGAAACCCTAGAAACTCCCTCCCTGCATTAGTCTTTTCCTGCTCGTCAGCGTCTTGCAGGTTGCTCGCAGTCATTGTTTACGGCAGGAAGTGACACAAGACCTTGACTGACGCTCTGAAAGATACTAATGTCCCGAACGCTCATTAGCTTTCCTCGCCCGAGAACCACTGAGTCAGCAGTTCTCTCAAATCGCCTCACCTGTCTTTATCACTTTATGTATCGGTCCGTCCACTCACGTCACTCCTAATGTTCATGATCCACTGGAAACCTAACTCTGTTTGTCAGTAGCAGCTTACTCTCACTTTCCATCCATCTCTTCCTCTCGTTTCCTCGCTCCAGCTTGTCCATAAGTACCTTCCAGGCATTTCAGCTCTCCACCCTCCACCAGAGGCCAGACTCTGTTCTCCAACGCCTCACCAGGGCTCAGGGCTCCACCACCTCCAGACACGGTAAAAATAGTTCCTGTAATCTTATTACCGGCTGTGAAACTTTCCCACAAAGACACACAGACATCTGTAGGTTAGTCAAGTAGAAATGCTGTTGCACACCGATTTGAAGTTTGCACAAAATGAATATTTTCTGTGAAATTCCCAACTAAAATCCTCCTCATTAACTGGCGTTTGGGGTTCCCACTGTGGTAATATAATTCTTCAAAACAAGACAACTGTAAACACTTCCCTTTTGGGGCAATCAATAACAAGTAAACAAATGTTGTAGCACCCCCATCAGACCAATCAAGAGCAAATTAAAATATGCCAGAACAGAACAAAGACATTCATTATTCCCTTATTGTCAGCGATGTGCGTGCAGTCTGAAATGTAGCGTCATTTTATCAAACAGTGTGATTGTTAAACTGAATATATTCACTGCCGTTTCATCCAAACCTAATTAGAATGAAGATGTCGAGAAAATTGTTCACTACTTATAGATTCACAGGAAAACAAGAAGACGGAGTCAAACCTGACAAATATTACGTTTGATCAATCTAATTCTTGAAACCATTTATAACCAGTGGTGGGCACAGTTCCCCTAAAGCACTAATAAGGAAACTAATTTCCTGATTAGTGCTTTAGGGCTTTTGCTAATTTCAAAATTATTAGTGGATTAGCACTTTCTAAATTTATAGATTAAATTTAGAAGCACTAACTGAGGTCTATAAATGTCCTGATGCATCTCAGAAATCCAGGTAAAAAATCAAAAAGAAAAAAATTGTATAGGTCTTCTGGACGGGTTCTTCTCTAATGAAACGTTTCGTCTCTCCTCCAAGAGACTTCTTCAGTCTGAGAGTTTCAGGCAAAATTCAGGCTTTTAAACCCTGCCTCCATGTGACTGATACTCACATCACATGGCTATCGTTGGCACCTAATTAACACCTATTGTTAGCAGGGGGTGGAGTGATACTGGCAATAGCCGTGCTGTAGGAGGGGGACAACTGAAAACGGAGGCCTCCACCTCTGTTTAATGATGGACGGTCTTTCTTCACAAAAATGGCTTCTTTTACTCCTCTCAAACCAACGTTCCTCTCTATCAAGAATGAGAACATCCTCATCTCTGAAAGAGTGACCGCTGGCCTGTAAATGAGTGAAAACTGCAGAGTTCTGGCCATTAGACGTAGCTCGTCTGTGTTGGGACATTCTTTTGAACAGTGGCTGCTTTGTTTCCCTGATGTATAACTGGTCGCAGTCCTCCTGGCACTTAACAGCATATACAACATTGCTCTGTTTGTGCCGGGGCACCGGATCTTTGGGGTGAACCAGCCTTTGCCGTAATGTGTTTTGGGGTTTGAAAGCTACTGGGACATCCTGTTTAGAAAATAAACGTCTCAGTTTCTCCGAAACACCCGCAACATACAGAACATTTTTTTTCTATAAATGTTATTGATCAACATTAATGTTAGCAGCTGAGGGTGAAAACTGTCACACATTTTGTTCATACGTGTCACTTATCCACAAGGTGACATATTAACAATAAATGAACTCAAATACAGCTGAGGAATGTCAATGATAAGTCATTCAATGTGGTAATATTTGACTCATGTTGTCTGTTGAAGAAAGCTCATGGGTTGACATGGTTATTTTAGTGCTTTAGAATTAGCTTTTGCTACAACTTTTAGTGCATTTGTGCTTTACAGTTATGGGACCTAAATATTTGAGTGTTTTAGGGCTAGTGGAACTAATTTTTAGATTATTGCTGCCCACCACTGTTTATAACCAAAGGCTTTTTAAAATTCTTAGTGTTTGTGTGTTTAATTCCATGTTTAACGTTCATTAAGACAATACAAAATAACTAAAAGAAACTGATTCAAAATAATTGATTTCTGTTGTTTTCTTTGATAGAAATACCAATATTTACCTGGAATCTCCATTAAATAAACTTGTAAATTCACAATTATTTAATATTACTTTCATAAACATTTGATTCACTCAAATATTTTTTTCAGAATCCTGAAAACAGGACTTTTTAAAACAGCATCGTTCTTTTATGCAAACCTGTGCACGTTTAAATAAGTCATACATCATTTGCATATTCTTAAAGATATCACTAAAAGACATTTGTTAGCTAGATATCAATGTTTTTTTAGCATAATTAGAAATTTTTAAATATTAATTTCGTAGCACGATGGGTTAGAACTGTTGCTTTGCTGCTAGCAGGTCTCAGGTTTGTATCCCAGCTGAGACCTTTCTGCATGTTCTCCCTGTGTTTGTGTGGATGCTGTCTGGATAGTTTTGTTTTCCTCCCGCAGTTTAAAAACATGCAGGCTGGGTTATTTGGGGAGTGTGGTCCTGTGATGGACTGGTTACCTGTTCAGGGGTCCGGGTAGCGGACAGCTTAGGGTGTATATTTCTGAGAAAAGTCTTAATAAAATAATCCAAACTGACCCTGAAGACCAAGTATTTATTTTCCCCACATTTAACCTTTTATTGATGTAGAATAAATTAAAAATAAATACCAGCTTCTGCAAAAGTGTCTCATTAATAGACAATTCCACAAATCTTGTTCTGAAGGTGTTATTTTTAATTCCTCCTCCACAGACAAAAAATAATAAATAAAAAGAATAGTTGAGGAGTTATTAAAAATATAATTGAACTGACACTGAAGACTAGTTATCACACATAATTATCACAAAACAACCGTGTTAAATGAAATAAAATAAGAAAAATATGTAAGAGTTACACAGGGTATTAATAATGAAACTAATATGGTAAACCTGCATGAAGGTTACAACATTCATTTACTGCTGAAAGTATTTTCAAGCTCACTTTCTTTCATGGTCAATTTAGATGCTGTAATTTGTTTGTTTTGCTGTGAAAGAGAGTCTAGTTTTTATTCTACCTTGACTGATTTAAAAAAAGAGTTTAAAAAGGCCACTTTTTTCCCTTAGAATCAGTTAATAAATCAAGCTGTTTTTGTACATTATATTAGCGTTACAAGACTTTTCATTCTGACCTGTTTAAATCTGTCATAATGGGTTGCATTAAAAGCATTTCTCATCACCTGAACAAACAATAATCTGTAAAAGAAGTGGTAGATTCTACACGTTTGCCTAAGAATTTTACCGTTACACCTTGTAGAGCATGCAATTAATGAAGCCATTTTTGATAAATTAATAAAATGATCTGTTGCTTCCTTCTTGTCTCTGCTCCTGGTGTTTTGACATTCCACATCCCTCTCTTTATTTTCCATCTTACTATGAAATGCAACACGATCCTGCTTCTGTCTAGTTTTGAGCATTATGAATCTTCTTGACCTCCTCCGTATTTTGCTGTGTGACCTCTCCGCCTCATTCTGCCTCCCGTTCCCTCGTGACACGCAGGCCTGGAAGCAGCGKCGCCCGCAGACAGAGGCCAGCTGTGGCAGCGGGGGAACAGGATGGTAAAGATGGCAGTGTGGGGGCTGTCCGCCACGCTCGGGGCAGCTGTGCTCGCCGTGGCTCAGACCGCCATGGACTGGGGGCCCGAGGTGTTGCTTCAGCTGTTCTGACGGACACGTGACGAGGCTCGACGACAGCGGACGGTCAACGGCTGTCTGCTGTCACGATGGATCGACATTATGCAACCACGGAGACACAAACACTGACTGTAATGACTTTAAGATCATTTCTTCTGCAGAAACACTGCTGAAAAGCAGGAGGGTGTACCTTGGTGCCAAACAGGTTTTTTGTTTTCTACAATAAGTATGTGGATGGATTACTAAAAAAAAGTCTTCTGTGAAGAAGTGATTGACTAGACGATCATAAATGAGCACAAAATGTTAAAGAAACGAATAAATTTAAACATCAGGCCACATAAAAGACGAAATTACCACAAAAACGTGCAAAACTACAATTGCAACAAGCTGACCAAAGAATCTAAAATGAAATCTTCTTGAATCAGATGAATCCCTGGGTTCATCCAAGTTTATGAGACACAAACACATCCCCCTCTTTCAGGCTGTGCATCCTCTCCCTCGGCTTTCGCATTGTTATAAAAGTCCCTGTTTCCTTGTTAGCTGATTAGTTCACTGAAACCCCGTTTTTCTGACTGTCACACTTGTTTTGTGCATTTCAGCTGACAGTGTTTCAGAGCGCTTGTTGGATCAGCAGCCATATCTAAAAGCCAAAAGTGCCCGCAGCCAGCCTGATGACACATGAATACAAATTATTAAAGAGCGGTGTTTTCTGCTGAAAGCTTCTAGTTATGAGTGAGGAAAGAGAAAGGTGGAGAAAAGGGGAGCAAAGGAAGGGGGAGGTTTTTTTTTTTGCCTTTGAGCCTCATATTAATTGCTTTACTCCAAGTGTCAGGGAGTTGTGTTTACACCGGAGCTTGACACACAAAACAAGCTGTTATTTCCCCCCCAAAAAATGTGATCATTTGGCACACATTTCGAGCAGCAGCACTGTTTTCGCAGATGCATTTTATGAGAGACGGTGAAATATTGTTCAGATTTTTACTTTTTTYCCCTTCTTTTCTTTACTTTTGTGCAGCAGGTTTTCAGCTCCACAGTGAATGAGTGTGGGGAAGACACGGGTAGTTGTACATTCTTAAAATATTTAGTATGTTTGATCCAACATCCCCTCTGAACTGCCGTCAACGGAGCTACAGTACATGGAGTTTTCCACATTAGGTTTCATTTGAGCATTTTACAGTTTAAGGTTATTTTAAAGCTTTACTGTATTGTTTTGAAAAAAGGGGTTTTTACTTTATTCCAAAGATGATAAAAGAAAAGAAAACTTCCCAAAATGCACCACGTTTTCTGCAGCTATTGTTGCAGTCAGAGTTTTATAACCTGAAAAGTGAATGTTTCCATCTTGTTCCCCAGCAGTGCACGCTCTGTATGCAGACTTGTACGCTAAAATATTTATCAGCTTTTACTAGCATGTAGCTAAGCTTCTGCTGCTGTAAACATAACTTCACTGGTCACAACACTCTCCTCTCTCCGTGCTCCGTCATCAGTTGGAAATGCGTCACACGTTTGCACAGCTGGTTAAGCAGCCTGCCCTGTTGATTTCTGTTACTTTGCTGCACATAAAATCAGTCTGTTGGCGGCAAAAATTAAAGTAATGCATTAACAAACAGATAAAGACATTTCCAGCCTCAGGGCTTTAGGTATTTGCCAAAAAAAAAAGACAACTTTGGAATGGTCAGTAAATCAATCGTGGTAACATGTTAGCTGCAGGCGAATTTAAACACATGTAAACATATTTATCTGATTATTGACTTTGTGTCTCTGTTAGAGGAATCTTCATTGATGAGCCTTTTTTAAGCCGTCTTCTATATCTTTAATTTATTATTTTCTCGGAGTCTCACTTGCATGTAAACAATTTTTATTTTAGAAGACACTAGATATTTATTTGTTTGAACTGTATGAATGTGTCTTAACATTGCAGAATTGGTAAAAATGTTATGCTTTGCACAGTTAGCAACTTGAAATGGTCATTCTTTAGGGGAATGCTTAATGAAATAACAAGTAGCTATAAAAAGCTTTATAATGAAATACTGGGTGTTGGCTGAAATTCTCAGACATGTACCCTTAATTTGTATTATTTCTGAAGATGTTGCAGTAAATAAATATGTTTTTATGTAAGGTTTGAGTTTTTTTATTTTATTATTTTTTGTTTGTTTTTGTTCAACACACAAAAACTCTTAAAATTGCATGCTGTGGTGTTGCCAACTCCTAATGAGGTTTTAATTCCTGCCCCTGGCTCTTGGCATGCTAATACACATTCCTTTATCAACTTTAGTTTTTTTCTTCAACCCAAATCAAAGTCCAGCACCTACAACAGCACCTGCCCTGTTTTCTATCCGGCACGTGATAAAAAAGTTTAAATGAAAGAAAGATTATAATGCCAGAAGTGTTCCTCAAAAAAAAGTATTTTAATCTTAAGAAAAGGGGAAAACACCTCACATTTTTTATTTATTTGTAGGACAAATTATATGTTTTCTGAATAATCTTGTTTATCATAGTTTATATTTTTTCAATATTTATTATATTTGAATGCCCCACTTTCTTTTCATTTTTGTTTTCTGAGGTTTTTATTTCCCTTGATGCCAAACTTTATTTCTGCAAATAGGTTTCTGGCACTCCACCTTCCATTGCCAAAACAAGATTCCCTCTAAGAATCAGATCAAAGTGTTTTCTTGTTTTACCAGATATTTGTCTTTAATATTTATGAGACAATAGTAAAAAGAAACTTGTCTTGCCAGATCATGAATTCACATCGGTGCCATAAAAAGCCTGAAGGCACAGGTTTATGAAAAAAAGTTTGACTTCTCTGTTCTTCCCTCAGGTCTGAACATTTTCTTATAAAAACAGGACCACTACAAATGTTTATTACAGTTAATGTAAGCCTATAGCTGCATTGATGTGTATGATTTATTTTAATGTATGGCTACTAAAGGCCAGGTGCAGCAGTGGTTAGAACTGTCGCTTTACAGTAATAAAGTTGTTGGTTTGCTTCTCGCCTGAGGCCTTTCTGTGTGGAGTTGCATGTTCTCCCTGTGCATGCGTGGGTTTTTTCTGTACTCACATGATGCATTTTTGACCTGTCCAAGGGTTATCTCTTCTTTCACACAATGACTGCTGGAGATGGGCACCAGCTCCTTGCAACCTTGTATGGCTGGATGGATACTATGTACCAGTTTAAACTGGGCCTTTTGAACCTATTGAGCTGGCCACTCTTCAATAGAAATGTGCAGTGGTGGGCAGCACTAATCTAAATATTAATTGCACTAATCCTAAATCACTAACTCAAATATTTAGGTCCCCTAATTCTAAAGCACTAATGCACTGAATTTTTTTTAACAAAATCTAATTCTAAAGCACTAATATAATCCAGTTGGCAATGATATTTAAAGACCTCAGTTAGTGCTTTTAAATTTAGCCCATAATTTTAGCAAGCGCTAATCCACTAATGATTAAAAAAATAGCAAAAGTCCTAAAACACTAATCAGGAAATTAGTTCCCCTATTAGTGCTTTAGTGCTTTAGGGGAGCTGTGCCCACCACTGGAAATGTGGGATTTTGTTTTTATAATAGAAGTGTAAGATAATGGCAAGCTGTTTTAGAAGCCACTTTGAAATGTATTTTGACCATAAAGGCAAAACTTTGAAAAAAATATATAAAATTGTTTGGCTAAAACAAGATAAGTAAGGCAAGATAGTTTATGTCAAAATATAATGTATAAGATGTTTTATCTTTGTTGATGAGTCACTTGTGTCATCAGCAAATGTAATGAGCTGGTTTGTGCTCAGTTTGGCATTATTGTCATCAGTTGGCAGAGTGAAGAGCAAAGGACTGAGTACACATCCCTGAGGGACCCCTGGAGCATGATATGATGCATTACTACCACCGCTAACTGTCTTCATGAAAGGAAGTCCAAAGTCCAGATATTGAACCAGATTTTAAGTCTGAGCAAAGAGTACTCTTCCATAAACTGTTGTAAAATGATAGTAAAGTTTTTTTTTCAGATAGGACAAGACTAAAAAACTATCTCGTTTTTGTCTTGTTTTCTTAACTCTATGTTTATTCTGTGTTGTTTTTTAAAATCAGCTTATCTGGATAAATTAGGTTGGTAGTTGGAGTGAAAACTGTATGTTTCTCCATCTGACAGCCCTGGAGAGACAATCAGAGCTTAAAAAACAGGGTCATCAGAGAAATTAAGTGAGAAAGATGGGTTAAAGAGTAAAAGATAGAGAGAAAGGGGAAAAAACTCATACTCAGGAAAAGACATCTGGTGGAGGTGTTGGAGGCTACACATATTCATAAGTGCAGTCCTTTGAGATCTTCTAATGAGCTAAAGTGTAGATGAGTGTGGGTCTGATCAGGGCTGAGAGCAGATGTAGACAGGAACCGTTTAAACTTCTGCACAAAGTTGTCTCAAAGATACAACATTGTGGAATTCACAAAGAGGCTGCATTAGTCACAAAAGGCCATTGAGGCTGAAATTTTCCTTACAGCGCCACAGAAATGCTCAACTCCCCTTCTCCCCACTCGACTCTTCGCTCTGTCATGGATCAGAGAACAAGAATGTCCCAGCATGTTTTAGAAGCAACACACGTGCCGTGTGTCACCGCATGGTGATGTGACTTTACAGCTCCTGTCTTGTACAGTAAAATGTGTGTTTGTGAACATCCGTTTTAGACAGTTTTGTGGCCCTATGTGCTGAAAGTGATTGAATATTTCCAACCTGACAGACTTGTGTTCAACAGTGTGGTTGCTGATTCAGCATTCATGCTGTTGATTTACTGTTTTGTTGGTTTCTCTGTACAGTTTTTGCAATTTACCTACTTTAGGTTTGTGCTATTTTTGCAATTTGAATGTCAAAATGTTCATCTCCTTCAGAAGATGGGTGCAACAAATTTTAGTTTTTAGAAATGTACTTTTTAAAATATTTAACTTTATTTACAACTGTACTATTTTTTAGTATTATTCATCATTCGCTTTGATGTTTTCAGAAGCAGTTATTTTGCCTGCTTCAGCACACTTGTTATATTTTTGTCCTCTTAAACTAAGTAGCCTTTTGCCACTTTAAGCTATCCTTCTACTACATTCAGCTCATCTATCAAACTGTTTTTTTTATCCTTTTGCTACTTTAGACTTTAGACATTAGCAAGCATTTTACTAGTTACTAGTTTTAGTTTTAGCTAGCCTTATACTTAACTTTTAACTTATTTGCCACTTTTGGATATTGCTTTAGATTTTACCTTTTGTTTTGATAGTTTTAGCTAGCCTTATTCTGATCTTATTTTTGGCTGCATTTTGCTGCAAAAGAGCAACAAAGTTTTTTTATGGTTGACTTTTTTTCTCATGTTTATCTCAGCAGTTGTTTTGTCTGTTTTATTTTTAGCCAGTTTTAAGTATCTTATGAAATTTAAATGTTAAACAAAAACTTGTTGAGATTTCCAAACAAGCTGTGAGCCATGCAGATTCGTGTCTGCAAAGACCGCAGTGGTTTTGAGATTGTGCCTAAATCTGAGCACCAAGTCTGTAAGAGGAGGCCTTCATTAAATAGATAAAAGTGCCACATTTCTCAGCGTGTCTACGAATACATTTTCATCTAATATACTGTTTTTACAGCCAAAGCAGTTCATTTAAAAGTGTTTAAAAAACAACACCCATTAAAACAGTCTGATTAGGTTCTTTACCCACTGCTTGAAGGAGCAACTTTAGCTACAGCAAGACACTCACAACTGAAGACCAGTAACTAACAACATAATTCAAACCTGACACAGGAAACAACTGTTAAAGGAAGAAATTGTTTGATCAAATAAAACAAACCAGTTAAAACTGACATTAAATGTGTAATATGTAATGTAATGCAATGTAATTCTTTAAAGTGAAACTTTAAAACTCGAACATGTAGACTTTGACCCTCTCACACAGCACAAAGTGTCACTACTGTGCATCTCTTATAACCCCGGAGCCTCATTAATCCAAACCTGGCCCGATCCATACAGCTCTATTAAAACATAATACTCATTACTCTCTGCGTCCTTTTGGTGCTTCTGTTCATCTGTACGAACACTTGGGACTGATCTCTTGTGCTTCCCACACATGACCTCTTGTTCTCTCGGCCCCTCGCTTCCCGTTGGTCTTAAACTCTGCTGACCTCGCCTCTGTTTCCAGAGGATTTAGGATGTGGCCCTGCAATTTATGTGGATCTAAGCAGGTTGTGAAACTGTGGCTTTCTGGGGTTAGGAGTCTTTGCATGTTTGAGAGTACTGAAAAGTCTCTCATGGGGAAACATTTTTAAAGATTTTCACAACAATCTGACATTGATGCATGCTTTTAAAACAGATGGACTAAGGCTCATACAGGTGAAAACAGTAACTGCAACTTTTTGAATCTAACATTTATTCTGCACCTATACTGGTGCATTCTTTGAAAGTTAATTGCAGATCTTGTTGTAAAATATCCCTCATTTTCTCTAATACATTAAAAAGACTTTAGGTTTATATCAGCATGAAGGGCATCGTCCAATCTAAGGGTTAACACATTACTGTATAAAAGTTGTTTTCCAGTTGGTTTGATGAGCAATTTCACAGTTTCACTCTGGTTTAAAAGTTTCTCCCCGTTTCTGTGCTGACTAATTTAAAATGTGTCACATCTAAAGTCTTGTTAATCTTCTAAACTAGCTCTCAGTGGTCTGGGCCCGCTCAGTCCCCGTCTATTATAGGAAGCACACATAATCTAATTTACACACAGAGAGCCGAGAGAGGAGGCCAACAACAGACACCAAGTAAATTTTATGCTTGGATTGGATCTGTCTGTGCCAAGATGCATGGACGCACATCCCCCAGAGGCAATGAAAAAAAGTTTTATGGCAGCGAAGGATCAATCCGTATTAACTTACAGGGATCTATCTCGTGTTCTTCATTTGAAAACGCTCGGCAGAAAAATGTGTAGAGCTATCAAATGTCAACAAGCGTTCGGTCTGAGCTGCTGTGGGTGTACTTCTACCATAGCGAGGACCGACCCGATGACTGAGTGTGTGTTCGCTCCCTGCGAGTGTAAGTGTGGGTGTGTGTGAGAGAAATATGAATTTGTTGGTAAATGTCAAGAAGTTGGCAGCCTAATGGTTGGGCT